GGGGCTGGTGGTCGCTCTGGTCAGCGTCTTCCTCGTGTTCGGCTTCATGTTCACCGTGTCCGGCATCAAGGGAGAGACCCTGGGGGACATCCCGCTGCTGGCCATCGGGCCGGCCATCTGCCTGCCGGGCATCGCCGCTATCGCCCTCACCAGAAAGACCGACGGATGCACCAAATGGCCCAAGAACAAGTGTCCGTGCTGCAAGGAGGTCAAGGACCGGGATGTCATGGAGCTGCTAAGGACCCCCTCGGACCTGGAATCTGGCAAGGGGAGCTGTGACGAGCTGGCCAAGAAAGCATACCAGAAGGACAGGAGAGTGCTGCGAGGCGAGGACTCCATGTCCATTTGCACCACCACGACCACGACCACCATAGGAGAGTGCAAGAGCCTCATCAGAAAGGTGGAGCAGGAGGAGATGCTGAAATACCTGGAAACCTGCTACCCAGAGATGCCGGGGAATGTGTTCGTGGGAGATGGCTCCACATACAGTGCCTTGGAGAAGAAGAGCTCTTCTCCCAACCGGGACAGTGCTGCTTGCCCAGATGTCGAAGACAACATTTTTGTTGCTCCTAAAGACAGTATCATTGTCTGCTCTTACAAGGAGAACAGCCCCTATGACAGATACTGTTGTTACATAAACCCTACTGGAGTCAACTCAGACCAGGAGACCATAGTGTGAAAGATGCATACTTTATATATATGTATGTACAAAAACTACCACTTCAACTTCTTGATAGGGGATAATATAGCTGTCTGCACTGCATGGGACAATCCTGATACTATTACAGTTTAACCTGGTATGTGACTGATACTCAAACCTTTTGTGCCTGAAATACTCTTTCTGTAAGTAAACAAGCATGTTTAAAGGTTAAAGAATTAAATTCTTAATTTTTGGAAAAAAAGAAATTACATTTTAATTTTGTTTTCTCCATTTCCTTCCCTTTTGTCTCCCTGCTGCCTATTGCACCTAAGGCCATAGACACACTGGTTGAGGGCAGCAGTGGCTGTCAGCTGAGAGCAAGAGCTGAGACAAAACTGGAGCCATCTCTAGGAAAGAACGTGGTGCTCTATGGCTGAATGGTCTTAGCAATAGCAGCACTGCGTGTTGGGAGGGATTGAGAGATGTCAATGTGCACTCCAATAGCTGGCTGATGTTTGAGAGTGTAGAAGTGTTTTGTATCCCTTCTTCTTCCTGGCAGGATTTTATTCTAAGAAATTGATGTGCTGACCCTGTGGGCTCTTCTGAAAGTCTCCCAGGAGCCAGATAGGTTCAAGGGAGTTTTCAAAGCTGAATCCACCATCAATAGCATGCAAGGTACAGGTTTTAGCTTCATCCCCCACTGGTACTGAGTTCACCAGAATGTTTCTAACACTTTTGGGTTTTATAGGTGGACTTGACAGGGAGATTACAACATGATCATGACACAGTTTTTGCAGAGACTAGGAGCAGATGTTAGTGGACTCAGGTCTTAAAAATATATTTCAGTACCTCTAAAGTCACGTAGGGAACAGACTTATATGAGTGGTGTTCACAGCTGGATCTGACTTTTCCAAAAATGTCATTTTCATGTGCCTTTTCTAAAATGCCAGATGTTCCTCTACAGGCAGTGAATGGTTTCGGTCTACTCAGGGTCTCAAAGCCATGCTTTGCTGGGGGTAGGGAACAGAGGAACTGGCTGACAGATGTTTTTGTTCACAACTTATAGATACGTAGCAAGAGAAATGAGAAGTGAGTAATAAGGATTCACCATTCAAAATCTGAGTCTGCAGCTTACATACAGAAACCTGAAATCCTGGCTATTCTGTCCAATGCTAAACTGTGTGTTCCACGCTCTGTATAAAAATCTTGTCTGGCCTCAACTATGTAGGTAACAGACATGTGGTATAATGCGATGTGCATGCTGAGCAGCTACTCTAAGAGTTAAGCTTGTAGAGTAATGGTTACTGAAGCATGGAGCAATTTGCTAGCGTCTCTCAAGGTCCCAGTACCTATAACTAAACTCTCACAACTCCAAAAAGTTCCTCTGTGATGGAAGTCTTAATAACAGTTCTTATTTAGCTTGTTTTTGTCAACCATAAGTTGTACCAGGCAAATGTACTGAAATACCAGGGTAGGAAAGAAGAAAAACAGCCTTTCGTTAGTAGCAACCTGAGATATGTAGAACATGGCAAGGAATTTTCCACTGAAATGAGCCATTCTTTGCTAGCCCTGGAATTATTTGCAAAGTGAATGGAAACTTTATGTATCCACTAGTTTATTTGTTTGGAAACTTATGTCAAATTGTTACAGACCACAATACAGGAAATACAGTTTTTTACATAATATAGTTCGGTTTCTTTCAGACCAAACAAGATGTTAATGCTTTCACCAAGCTTTGGTGGGGCATCAGGATGCTATTAGGATACATTAAAAAATTACTGGCTAGCTTGATTCAGGTACAGCCTCTCAATAGGTGGTTACAGGCAGTCTTGCTGCTCTAACGTGAAGCAGCAGTACTGTGGGTATAAATAAACACTTATACTCTGTACAGCCCAAATTTTATCCACGGAGCAAAGGAATTCCACAGAAATCCCTGACATTTTCAACTCCCACTTCCACATAAAAGCACTCTCTTGTTGTCAGGCAGATCGTCTCCTGCAGGCTTAGTCACTGCAGGACCTTATTCTGCTATGTGCAGAGCAGCTCTTTGAGGGCACTGGGAAGGCTTATTTCATGACCTCTGAAGCCAGCAGCTAAAATGCTGATGATGAATGTGATGAGGAGTAGGGGCTTTCATTGCTTTCTGCTCCTCAGGGAAGCAGTTGAGGGTTTCACCTCAGCATCCCTGAAGATAAGACCCATCATGGGCAAGCGGGCTACCAGGCAGCTGCGAAATGCCTTTGCCGGAGTTGTGAGCAATTGCTTGCCTTGCGTAAGAGAGTGAAGCGTCAGCCTGCTGGAAACCTAGATTTGTACAGTTCTGCAAATATATATAGGAAGAGGTCAAATTTTTCCATTTTGTCAGGGATGAGATGTACTCTGACAAAAGTTATATGGGGTTTTACAAGGCAAGATAGCAAACTCTAGTGACAAATGGAATGGTAAATATATAACTTGAGGTACAGCCATGCAGATCTGAGTCATGTGCTTTAGTCCATTCTTAGTGTAGAAACAAAAGAATGTTTGTATTAAAGGAAAGTTTAATGGGAGTGAAAATTTCCCCCTATATAGAAAGAGATAAAAAAGTCAATTTAAGACATGGTATTTATAAGCAATGTCCTTCCCCCATTAATTCAGCTGAGGTAAGATTTCACAACAAAATAAAAGTTTAAGCAGTATTTCTAGGCTAATCTACCATAATCCACTAAAGTTTTTTATTGAACATGTGAAAATTTGAAGTTAAAGCAATATATTACTGCCTCTGAAATCTCCTTCTCTATGCTTTTTCCTTTCTTGTCTGCTAGTTAAGCAGAATTTGGCCATTTTAAAAGCAGGAATTTGGCCATTTAAAAATGGAAGGTCACTGTTTGGTTTTGTTGTTTGGTTTTTTGGGTTTTTTGTGTTTTTTTTTTGTTTTTTTTGTTTTTTAAATAAAGTGAGCTTTTTTTCATACATTATAATTTTGCCAGTGGAAATCTACTACTTATTTGATTGAAGATGGCATGACAGGAGCTTCAAGCTTTTTATGCAGATGCCATAGCCTGGCCAGAGAATTACTGGGGCTGTATTTTCATTCAGCTCATGTGGTCTCTTCTGATGACCACTGGAACTTGTAGGACCAGTGCTGATCTTGCAATAGGGAGGAATAATAATGTTGCTTTTCAGAGGCAGCTTCTAGTCCTGGGTCTGAATTTGGGTTCAGGGTACCACAGCTTGGTATGTCATTCCAAGCCATGACCCAGAGATGAGAGCTTCTTTCTGTCCTTGATACCTTTAAAACACCTCTAGGTCAAAATCCCACTTCTCTCCTCAGTGCTATCTGCAAACAAAGCACGCAGTTGTGATGGAGCTCTGTTTGTGGGGTTAATGCCCGGTCTCACTGAAGTCAGTGGCCACATATTACTTGGTCTTACAGTATGGGTGGCAGGGCGTATATTAGCGTTTGAAGAAAAACAGTGATTTCAGCATTCAGAGGAGGTTCCTAAGATATGTAAAATTTATTTTTAGAATAGTATTTCGTAGAGCCATAGTGGAGTTTACTTTCTTTTAAGAAACAATGTGATACACAGATCAACTGTATGCAGGGTAATTTTGCGTTGCTTTGTTTAAATTTCTTTTGTAATAAATAACATTTTTACAGTCATACAAACTGATCATTACAAAGCCTTTAACAGAAAATTGGGAGTTTTAATCAATGTGCACTTTGTCAGTCCTGGAGCACTAAACAACAAACAGCTAGTCCTTTCTGCCTGGACCAAACGAGTGGAGATGAGCATGCTCAGGGTGTGTATCCCTCAAAACCAGTGTTGTATCCTTCATCTGTGTTATGCAGAAATGCAGTGCTCACCCACTGGCAGTTCCTCCCCATCTGATCCAACCTCTCCACAGTCCTGGCTCCAATAACTATAAATTATGTTGTATTTAGCAGAGTAGCAGTTAATATGACCCCTCTCAGCATTTCTCCTGGTACACACCAGACTGTTTGCAGCATGAGCTCCTGCACCTGACTGAGGTGGGAGAATCTGACACATCATCGCCCATCCTATGTAAGCAGTTTTGAGACATCCAACTAAATTGTTAGTTCTTGCAGTGCAGGCTTGGGATTTTGTATCTCTGTGCAATTCCTTTCACACAAAGGTGCTGCAGAGATGGGTGACTGTCAGCCTCAGAGGCACTTCCAGCCTGATTTTCTTGAGCATTTAGGGACCGATCTATTTATATGCAGAGCACAATCTGCACTCAGAAACTTGAGCCTCAACACATTGCCAGTAAAGCCATATTGCTAGAGAATGCAGTTCTGACATGGGAGATTTTTCTGAGTCTTGAAAGGTTTCAGTGTAGGTTTCTAATATCAATCGTATTAAAACTTGCAGAGGAGTTTTCTCATATGTAGACTAGAGGAGTTTTCTTGACATATTCTTAACACACAGCATGGGGCATCATCTGCAAAGCAGCTCACGCTGAGCCCAATTCTGCTCCGCAGCCAGTCTGAACATGCAGTCCCTGCTGGGACGACTGTCGGTGGCTTTGGTACTTCTCTGGGCGCTTTTATGTCTGGTCTTTACAAACAATGCAGAGATCGGATCTAGAATTCACTTCTGATGCTCCCTGGCAAACTTTCATCAGTAAGCATTACCTTTAGTTTATCAGTCCTCTCAGTGGAGCAATTCCAGACCATGTATGTCTTTACCAGGCAGGGAGATCCAGCTATCATTGGTTTTTAAATCATGGTTTATCTTCTGTCCAGAACAGTTGCAGGGATTAGTCCTGACTATCCTATTGTCAGATGCCTGCAGAAGTGTTCATGCTCAATCTTTTTAGTTACAAACACTGCATAGGTGTATAGACATTACACATTTGTTTGCAAGAGCAGGTCACAGAATGCACATGCATAGCAATATATTGATTTGAGATCTGGTCAAAGAACCTCTCTGTCTTTCCAACACCTCACCCAAATTTTCTGCCTCAAGCCTACAGTTGCAATTTAAAATCCCTTCCATCTTTTAGGAGAAGAGAATTTTTCTAATAACAACTCTGTT